CTAATACACCCTTCTGCTTTGCCCCCGCCGCCTACACCGGCCCATCGCCAGCTTCCGACCCCGCGGCTTCGGCGGCGCCCGCCGCCGCCTCGCCGCCCACCTTCGGGCTGCCGCCTCTCACGGCCATCCCTCTAAAACCGGAACTCCTCCCTCTTACCCCTCCCCCTCCCACCCTTCCCACCCCCACCTCAACCCGGGACCCTAACCCGTAGGGTCCTCTACCGGAGTCTAGGGTGTCGCCGGCGCTGGAGAAGAAGAGGAGGTCGCCAGAGTTGGAGGAGAAGGCCCTGGAGCACGAATCACAAAGTTTATCCGGTGGACCAAAATCTACAAGATTTGGAGGTAGATTTTCTGTCGACAGATCGTTAGCATTTCCGAAATACTTATTGGCCACATCTTAAAGAAAAATAATCGGAGTTGCCAGAAAACTTCGCCAAGTTTTTTTTCCTAGAACTTTTAAATTTGTGACTATTGGAGAGTTGTGCATGATGGAAAAAACCGATGCGGAAAGGAAAAATCGGGCACCCGTCTCTCTCTCGTCTGTTCCCCGTATCTGTGTTCCAGCGCCGGCGGCTGTTCGCGGGGTGGTCGGTGGCGGCGGCGGCGTCGTATAGGAGGGTGAGGAGGCGGATGATGGGCCAGCTTATGGCGGCGGCAGCTATGCAAAGGTCATTGGTGACGGCGTTCGAGAAGGAGCGGAGCTGGGGGTCGTCCTTCATCCAGAAGCACTGGACGATGCAACAGCTCCGGCGAGGTGACCCGCAATCGTGGTGACCGCAGTGCGGCTTGCTATAGAAGTCTGTCGCTGTTCTCGAGGGTTCTCAAGGGTTGGATGTTCGAGAACTTCCTCCGCGCGTAAGCTCAACGGCCTCTTCAGCCGGCGATGCAACAGCTCTCAAGGGCTCGATGTTCGAGAACTTCCTCCGCGCGTAAGCTTAACGGCCTCTTTAGCCGGCGATGCAACAGCTCCGGCGAGGTGACCAGCAGTCGTGGAGCCGCAGCGCAGCTTGCAAGAGAAGTCCGTCGAGGTGACCAGCAGTCATGGTGCCGCAGCGCGGCTTGCCAGAGAAGTCCGTTGCCGTTCTCAAGGGTAAGGGTTGGATGTTCAAGAACTTCCTCCGCGCGTAAGCAATGTTTCGGCTAGTGTACTCGTGATGTTTTTCTATGTATGGATCAAATGTTGCAGTGGATTTTAAATATTGTTTAATGGGTCTGTCTATTCATTTGTCGTGTGATTTCTAACAAAAAAAAATCACCCAAATTTTTTCTGCCTTTATATTTACATACAACGAACTACAAAAGAAAATAAAAAATACATATTTACTCACACATTATTTTTATAAAAAATTATAGTGCACTTACATATCATATCAACTGAATTTACAAATGTAATTTTAGTTATGTAGGACTGTAATTTTATATTTTAAAATATAATTTTAGTTATATAAGACTGTAATTTTATTTTTTTTAAAAAAATAACAAATACATATTTACTTATACCAAAATTACAGTGCACTTACATGTCATATCAACTGAAATTACAAATATAATTTTAGTTATATATGACTGTAATTTTATATTTTAAAGAAAATAACAAATACATATTTACTTACACATTAGTTTTATCAAAATTACATTGCACTTACATGTCATATCAACTAAATTTACAAATGCAAATTTAGTTATATAGGATTGTAATTTATATTTCACGACGACGAGAGGGACGGTGTCGCTCGCCGAATAGCGTTGGTCGTACTGCCGGTGGCCGGCTCGCCGGTCAGAGGCCACCTTGCCACCATGTTTCTCTATCATGGTGCACGCGTGGGCTAGCTGACACAGTCCGTGACCGTGAGCTGCAGCTCACATCACAAGTGGTGCATAGCGTGCGGCCAAAAAAAAAAGTGTGAAATGCCATAGAAAAATTCACACGGGAGATGGATAGCAAAATCGTTGTTTAATAATATCATCTTGACGGATACGGGGTTTATTGTTGTACATGGGGTAAGTGTTTCAATGACTTTAAATCGTTTGTTGCATATGTTGATCTAATTTTTTTCATCTAGCGATCTGACCGTGCTTCTCTTTTTTTTTAACAATTGAAACATTCTTTCGCAATTGATGAAATAATGCTTTTTATAGGGTGAAGCAACGTCCGATTTAAAAAATCGGGCGCCCGATTTATAGGGGTTCGTTTAAATTTTTTTTGCACACGGATCACGCGCCACCAAACCCCGGGACTCGACGCCGACGCGCCCACCACCCGAAGCCAATTTGATCCCACGTCACGGGGGGCGCCTCTGCGTCGCCGTCGGAGAAAAAGCTACAGTAGCTGGACAACCGGGATCCATGGTGCTACGGGCCTTCCGCTGGCAAGAAAGATCCTGTCGTCCGAGGCGTTCCGGCTGATGTCTCGTCCGCCGGCGACGACGAGGCGGTGGGGAACACGGACGTGCTGCTGTTCGAGCTGGTCGACGGACGGGACACCTCATGCTTCTGGAGCTGCACCAGACGCGCCGTCGCCGGAGACGACGACGACGACGACGACGCTCGTCATCAGGGGTGTGGGCGGCCGCTCGAGGACAAGGATGCATGCGGTGGGCGCCGTGGCCGCCGTGTGGGAGGACGTCGATCGACGACCGCCGCGCCGCGGCGCTCACCACCCATCGTCGCATTGATATCAACGGGGGTGCTGGACACGACGACGGAGGCGGCGGCGGCGAGGAGGGCGCGCGGCGGCGCATCTTCGCGTCCGACGCGTCGCGATTCGCGTTCAGGGAGAACATCGCGGCGCACGCATGGCTTCTTCTCGACGCATATCCGATCCGTTCCATATGATGTACGTACTAGATCGACGGTGCATACGAGGCCACGTACACACAAACAAACTACGGGGAGATGGATTATATTAGTTTGAGATTTGTGGCATCAGTTTTTTTTGTGTTTTTTTAATTATATGATGAGGATTTTTTTTAGATAATGGAATTATATGATGAGGATAATTTGTTGAATGGAGTTAGGTATTCTGTACTTTTTGTTTAGCACAGGAACCATCATCTCTTACGTCACCCCATACGTCACCGGTCGCCGTCGCCGTCGCCGTCGAACCATAGAGAAGCCACCGCTCCTCCCTCCCTCTCGACTCCCGTCACCTGTCATCCTTGATCCTCCCTCCCCTCCCCGGCAACGCTCCTTAGTACGCCCTCGACAACGACCACTCATCACCATCTCTACTCCTCTTGACAACTCGCTACTATCCCTCCTTTTTACTACATTATAAATCGTTTTCATTGTTAGACCCTGTTTAGATGCCGGCAAAATTTTTCACCCTGTTACATCGAAAGTTTGGACACATGCATGGAGTATTAAATATAAACGAAAAAATAACTAATTATACAGATTGCGTGTAAATTACGAGACGAATCTTTTAAGCCTAATTGCTCTTTGATTTAATAATGTGGTGCTACAGTAAACATTTGCTAATGACGAATTAATTAGGCTTAATAAATTCGTCTCGCAGTTTTACAGGCGGAGTCTGTAATTTGTTTTATTATTAGTCTACATTTAATACTTCACATGTATGTTCGTATATACGATGTGACACGTCAAAACTATACACTCCTGATCTAAACACAGCCTTATACAAAAGTTTGATCAAACTTATAAAAACACATTAACATTCATATAGCATCAAATTAATGCCATTATATCTTAAAATTTGTTACTATTTTTATGTTACTTGATTAAATCTAAATGGGTTTGACTTTGAAATTAAAACGACAAACGGAAATGGTACTACCCACCAACCGAGATGCGGACGAGACTCCGCTGACTTTGTGCAGTTTGCAGTTGTGGCACCGACATGTGGGCCTTATAGCCCTGCACAAAGTTAGGGGATCTGTTTCCTCGAGATGTTGGGCGCCTGACACGCTGACCCTACTCCCCCGGACGTCGTCGTCTCCAACCAACAACAACGGCTTGTTTGGCAACTTGAGGTAAAAGGATTGAGAGTTTACACGAGGGAATTGATGATGAGATTAAAATGGGAATTTGATTTTTATCCCAATATCTTGTTTGGTGGAGGTGGTGGAAATTGATAGGAAGTTTAGTTGGAGATTAGGTCATTAATGAAAATGGATGGCTGTGATTTGTTTAGGCAAAGTAAAGGAGGAATTCCCTCCCAATTACCACATCTACCCAGGTATTGAAAAGGGGGACTTCCTTTCTCAATTCCCTATCCCATCACGCCAAAATTCACATGTCTCATAACCAAACAAAATACTCCCTCCGTATTTTAATGTATGACGCCGTTGACTTTTTAACAAACGTTTGATCTTTCGTCTTATTCAAAAAAATTTATGTAATTATCATTTATTTTATTGTGACTTGATTTATCATCAAATGTTCTTTAAGCATGACATAAGTATTTTTGTATTTGCATAAAAAATTTGAATAAGACAAATGATTAAACGTTGGTTAAAAAGTCAACGGTGTCATACATTAAAATACGGAGGGGGTATTTAATAGCCTCATCTTTCTAAACTCTCAATCCCTTGTAAGAGCAAGTACAATAGCAGGCTATAAACCAGCTATAAATATATTTTAAAGAGATAAAGGAAGAGAGAGAAGAGCAGCGAGCTACAGATTTGTAGCTAGTTGCAACACGGACTACAAGACGTAATGTGTATGACATGTGGTACCAGGTATTAATAGTATAGTAAGCAACTATTGTATGAATTGGCTATTACATTGGTTATAGATGATTTGGAGCTAGTAGTGAGTTATACTATTGAACTTGCTCTAAAAACTCCCTCCGACCAAATGGGCCGCAAAGACAGTGATAAATAATCCATGTGAGGCAGTCACAGGTAAAAAAAAAAAAAAAGCTTCTCTAATCCTAGCTCGTGACCTGACACCTGTCCAGATGTGAACGAATCGAGCGGAGGCTAGCGAAGTAGTAGCGAGTGTAGCATCTTCTCGCGCGCTGGTCTCCCCACCGTCTCTTTCGCCATTTGCACAATTCTCTCACTCCTCTTTCCCCCTCCCTTCTTCTTGCTTCTTATCCCCCAAGCAATAACGAGGCGTCATCTCTCTCGTCATCTTCTACTCTCCCTCCTCTAGTCCTCTTCTTCTTCTACTTTGTACGCGCCACTCACTCTCCGAGCTTGACGGCGGCGGCGGCGGCGGAGGTCGTCGAGTGGTGGTCGGGGAGATGGGTCAAGATGAGGTGGAGGTAGGTGCGGAGAAGAAGGATCAAGAACTACCGGAGGTGGAGGTGGTCGAGGAGGAGGAGGAGGAGGGATCCAAGAAGGCGGCGGCGGGCTGCGACTACTGCGGCGACGCGGCGGCGGTGGTGTATTGCAGGGCCGACGCGGCGAGGCTCTGCCTGCCATGCGACCGCCACGTGCACGGCGCCAACGGGGTGTGCTCCCGCCACGCGCGCGCGCCGCTCTGCGCCGCGTGCGCCGCCGCGGGGGCCGTCTTCCGCCGGGGCGCGGGCGGCTTCCTCTGCTCCAACTGCGACTTCTCCAGGCACCGCCACGGCGGGGAGCGCGACCCGGCGGCGCCGCTCCACGACCGCTCCACGGTGCACCCGTACACCGGGTGCCCCTCCGCGCTCGACCTCGCCGCGCTCCTCGGGATCTCCTACTCCGACAAGGCGGCGGCGGCGACCGCGGCGGCGGGGGGCGACGACGGTGGGTGGTGGGCCATCTGGGAGGAGCCCCAGGTGCTCAGCCTCGAGGATCTCATCGTCCCGACCACCTCCTGCCATGGATTCGAGCCTCTCCTCACGCCATCTTCCCCCAAGGTTCGCTTTTACAGCCTTCTACTGTTCACTGTCCGAAAAAAAAAAATCCCCCCCTTTTCTGAATCAACTTCTATTTAATTTACTCCCATTTATCCGGCTTAATTCTTGTCTGCTGCAAAAGATTCAGAACTCGCCGGATGGGAAGGTGAATGAGGAGGTCATACGACAGCTAACCGAGCTCGCCAATTCAGACGGCGGCGGCGCGCAGATTTGGGCTCATCGCGAGGCGGCGCAGGCCGGCGATCATCAGTTACCTTCATGGGGAACAACAACACAACACAACACTGGACATGGCAATTTCGGTACTGCAAACAGCAATGAGGTTGCAACCATGCCGACGCCTGGTTATGAGGTTTGATCTACAATCTTCAGCATATCTGACTAATTTGCAGTGCTGTTTACCCTATGGATGTACTTTTGTCACTGCAATTGTTAGTCAAGCGATAAATGGTACTAGATTGGTAGTGTCCGCAGAATCTTCGTCTGAACGGTAGAAACTATACAGATTCTGTATCATATGCGGTGAAGATATTCCTAGGCATGCTTTGCTGTACCTATGTTGATGGGGAATTTATTCTGTAGTGTCAACTCAAGCGCTAGCAACTCAAGATACATCTGAGTCAGAATAAAGTCATTCTAGTGAAGAACCCCTAAATTCTCTTTCTCTTTTTCAGAGAGAAGAAGCCCCAAATTTGATATGATTCTGTTCTTTTCCTATCTATTGTCATATTCGTGATTTTGTGTAAGATTCTTATTTGGTTTACACCTACTGACACATACATTAATTTTTTAAACCTGGACAAGGATACCATTCTACCCATTGATTATTTATTGACAGTCCTGTTCAGATAGGGGGAATTGTATCCACACTGAAATTGGCCATGAAAAACGCAGAGTAGGCCTAGTTGATAAAGAGCTAAGATTTTGATTGTCAGTTCTTTTGCGCAAAATAGATGCTTACTTGGCTATCTATTAATATAACTTTATCTATATGGCAGAATGGTGGATGGGATAACAGCGATTACCCTGCGCTAAATGATCCGTGCAAGGTCGAGTTCACATATGAGCAACCTCCAGCCAGCTCAGCTGAAGCATGTATTTCATCATTTGTTCAGATGTCTGAACTTTGCCCCAGCATGAGCAATGGTAGCAGCATGGAGGAAACCCACCAGACAAACCCTGGAAATGGCACGCCAATGCAAGTTCTACCCAAAATGCCAGAATTTGTTCCTTGCCCCGACAGGAACTTGGTCATTTCTCGCTATAAAGAGAAGAGGAAGACAAGAAGGTGACATAAGCTTATGGCAAGCATGATGTTTTTATTTCCTCTTGAAGCTTCTCTTGGACTCTTACCCAGGATTTTTCGATTTGAAACATAACTGTGTGACAATGAAATTCTAATTATTGCAGATTCGACAGGCAGGTCCGGTATGAGTCCCGCAAAGCTCGTGCTGATAGCAGGCTGAGGATTAAGGGCCGTTTTGCTAAAGTCAATCAGATTTGAGCCTTCATTTCTGTAATATATTTTGCATCTTGGACATGAGTAATACTAATTAGGACCAAGCAGATATAGTACAAGAAAAAATATCAGCATTTTGTATGTAACTATGTACCCACCCAGTGGCTACGCCACGCTGAGGAGAATTTAGTTTCATCGAATCTCTGTATATAGTGTTGCATCGAACTCAGTGATACTATTTACATGCAAAGGATATTGTCATTATGGCTGTTTCCCCATGGTTTTACTGCAAACTGTCTGCTGTGTTACTACTGCAAAAGCTCTCCTTTGATGAGGATCAGTAAAATAGTGTCAAATTCGGATCGCAGATATGTTGACATTGGAGAGGACAATTCTGTGTTAAGAGATGAGTAACTCGTTTCATGGCAAAATGGTTACAAAATATTTAATTCCCTGTAATCGGCTTGTCAGTTTGTCATGAATCATGAATTCGTGATGCTAGAGGATAAAACAGAGTCTGCTGCATACCAGAAGCTAATGAAATAGTTGATGCACGACAAATCACAGTAATCTGTCAAAAGATTAGCTTTGATTTATTTATATCATACCAGATCTGACACAGCAAAACTATCCTCCTTTGGAATTAGGCAATGCATTGTATGGTACAATTGAATGGCTAATGGCGTCTGAAACATTAAGAACAACTCACATCTCTACAAACACTCTGGATGAAGTAGTAATTTACAACTTACAAGCACCAAGAAACTGGCAATGGCAGCCAAGAAGGCGAGCGAGGCCTAGAAGATGGTCTGCTCGCCGAGCTCCTGCCCTGCCATGCCTTCCCTGATCACCCTCTCGAAGAACTGCTCGAGCGTGTCGCTGCCGTAGCTGGGCGTCATCTCGTCGCTGTACTCGCCGGTGTCCGGGTCGAGCACCAGCATGCTCTCCGACGCGTAGTACCTCCCGATCTTGCCGAACTCCGCCGCGTCCTCCACCCCGGGGAACACCTTGGCCAGCGCGTCGAGCACCCAGATGGCGGCGTCCATGACCTGGATCGGCACCTTGATGAACCTGGGCTCGCGCCCCAGCAGCCGGAACAGCATCTCCCCTTGCTCCAGCGGCGTCAGCGCCTTCCCCGGCCCGCCGATGGGGAGGATCTTGTTGGCCTTGCCCTCGTCGGAGATGCAGTCGGCGATGAACGCGGCGAGGTCCTCCTCGCTGATGGGCTTGCAGGCGCAGAGCTTCCCGTCGCCGAACATGACGTAGGGCTGGCCGTTCTTGACGGTCTCGACCTGGCCGCCCAGGCTCTTGAAGAAGGCGGTGGGGCGGACGATGCTGTAGGTGAAGGACGGGTCGCGCGACGCCTCGGCGGCGAGCTCGCCCTCGAACCTGAGCTTGGCGCGCTGGAACTCGAGGAGCGGCTTCTGGACGCAGACGGCGGAGAGGAGGACGAAGTGCGCGGCGCCGAGGCCGCGCGCCGCCTGGAGGGTGTGCAGCGTGGCGCGGTAGTCCACGCGCCACGAGTCCCGCACGCCGCCGCCGCGGCTGGCGAGGCAGCACACCGCGGCGTGGATGGGGCCGTGCGGCGACAGGTCGGCGCGGAGCGCGCCCGCGTCGGTGACGTCGGAGAAGACGACGCGGGCGGGGGCGAGGTCCGCGACGACCTCGTCGGGGCCGTTGCGGCCGCGCAGCCCGCTCCGGGGGCGCGCCACGGCGACCACGGGGTGGCCGCGGCGGAGGAGCTCGCGGACGACATAACGCCCGATGTAGCCCGTGGCGCCCGTGACCAGCACGGTGGTCTCCGACGGCGCCAGTGACCGGAACGGCTGCGCCGCCGACGCAGCAGGCGGTGGCTCTACCGACGAAGCAAGGAAAGGCCAACCCCGACGGGCACCCTTAGGGGCGGCGTTGGCGGCGCGGAAGGAGACGAAGCTTGGCGCCGGTCGAGCAGTGGGGGACGTGGTGGAGGATGAGGAGGCGGCGGTGAGGTGGGAGGAGAGGAGGAGGGCAGCCATGGCGGCTGCCGGCTAGGGAGGCGGAGGTGCTCGACGGAATGCGGGGAGGGAGGCGGAGGGCGACGTGGAGGCCGGCAGTATCAGAGCCCGGCCGGCGAGCGTTTGTGGTGGTGGTGGCGTCGCGACCAAATCCGAGAGCGCGATTGCGCTGACGTCACTTTGATATTTTCATTTTCATTTTTTGGATTTTGGAGGAGCAGCCTCTCATCAAAGCAACCCCAAAAAAATAAAAAAAGGAACTCGCCACTGGGCTGAAATCAGCAAAGCTCAATGGGCCTCGCTGTGAAGGCCACAATAACAGAGGCCCACTCAGAGCCCGTCTTTCCAAGGCTTTATTAAAGCGAGAGGACTCGATGGCCCCGAGACGAAACCCTAGCCTTCGCCGCCGCCGCATCAGTTGGCGATCGATGCTTCTCCAAGTTCCGTCGTGTTCAACCGTTTTCGTTCGATCTCCTCTTTCTGATTTTGGCCTCTTTGTCACTGGTTTATCGATGGCGTTGTTTGTCTATCCCCATTTGTTTCTCTCGGTGGTTTTTTGTTCATCTTTGAGGTTACTGTGATTTATTTTTTCCTTCCTGCAATACATCGTCTTGATTTGGAAGTTTATGGATTGGTCATGCTCTTGTTCTGTGTGTTTTTTTTTTTGTTGTTTTACATCCTGATTTTCGATCTAGCGATTGTTGAATCTTGGAGAGTTGGTGGTGTTGGCCGGTGATGACAGCGTATGGTATGAGCCTCAGTAACTAATCTGCGCATCGGGTAGTGATAAACCCGGGTTATTGACGGCCAAGATTCATGTGCCAAAATGCTAATCTGAGGCCAGCCAAACCATCTCTCCCTTGAGCAACTTACCTTACTTCGTTTCCATATCTTAAATAACAAGCGTAAAGAAATGGCGAGCTAGTGTTCAAACCCAATTAGGAATGACATCTGAACAAGCAGAAGATTGAGAAATGTAACGCAGACACCGGGTTGATGCCAGTATGCCACTCGCACATAAATTACGCAACATACTCCTTATTTGCAGGCACAGTAGTACTTTTGAGTTTTTATCATAACTTTTAATCATTCGACTTTGTTTGCGATTTACTTTGTTATCAACAGTATTTTAAGTATAACTTATTCTTTTTTATATTTGTACTAATTTTTATATTTGTACTATACTGGACGGATGTAGTAGAACGCAGCGCTGTAAAAAAAAATTGTTACTTTGTTCAAAATGGTTCTAATATGGTCCAAAATAATCGCTCCAATCGTTACGAGGTAATCCCGCTGCCGCGATCAACTGTGTTTGATCATTACATACCGCCGCCGTAATGATCTTAATTATCGTCGTGCCTAAGAGCAAGTTTAATAGCAGAGCTCACTACTTACTAGTCAATGCTATAATAGCAGAGCTCTTTACTTACTTACTAGTTAATGCTAAAACTAACATGTACAGTAGATTAGCTATAAGGTTATCTTTATTTTCTTCATCCTCTCTCTTTCTTTCACTATGAATTTAATATATAATATTTGGAGCTTGTGTGTAGTTAGCTTTTGCATGATAGCCAATACTCCTTACTTTTGTTTATCTCTCTTCTATATAAATATATAACTTGCTTATAGCCTACTATTATTCTTGCTCTGAGTTGTTCACGCATTGCTGATTGCATGTTGATTGCTGGTGGCGTGGATTGATCTCTCGCTTCGTGTGGTGAATCCGTCCATGCTGGTTGCTGGAACTGGAAGGCTGAACGGCTCCTTTTGCTGTTGCCTAGAACATTTCCGCTGTCACATTCCTTTGTTCCCTCGATCGCACCCAACCATTTCGTTGTCCGTGACAATCTGTTCCAGGTTTCAACCAAGAGAGGGCCCATGGCCTTCGTAATCCTCATCTTAAAAGCTACTCCCTCCGTTTTAAAATATTTAACAACGTTAACTTTTTAGCACATGTTTGACCGTTCGTCTTATTTAAAAAAAGTTTGTGAAATATGTAAAACTATGTGTACACGAAAGTATATTTAACAATGAATCAAATGATATAAAAAGAATAAATAATTACTTAAATTTTTTAAATAAGACGAATGGTCAAACACGTACTAAAAAGTCAACGATATCAAACATTTTGAAATTGGAGGGAGTATATCACCATTATCCAAATGGAGAATCCTATAACACCATTATCCGCCGAAGCATGAATTCGACTTCTTTTTTTCTTTCTTGAAGATTATCAGTTCCTCTTTTGCATATATATTTTTTTCTGTCTCGTTTAAAGTTCATTTTTCACGGGACAGCAATTGGTAGCGTATTGTTTCACGCAAACTGGATTTCCTTTACATACACTTCTGACCAAATTATAGTACTCCGTAAAAGTCTAGTAGAACACTACACGGCCATTCTCCCCAGCGACTGCACAATACCAATTTTTCGCCTTCTTCTCGGGACAGTCGGTTGCTCGCTCGCTCGCCGCTACTCCCTTCGTCACTAGAAAGAGGACGTGGTTGCACAAATCTTAATACTATGAAACTTAATACTTTCTCCGTTTATTTTATAACTTTGACAAGTTTAAAATTTAACTAGCTAACGTTATACAGACAAATTTGGAGGTAAGGGCGGTGGCTATTGTTCAAGCCCAATTAGGAATGACATCTGAACAAACAAAAGATTGAGAAAAGGCATACACCGGATTGGTGTCAATTGCACATAAATGCGCAATATATTAGCAGGCACAGTCTGAATACGAGCATACGAGTAAAACTTATCGCTGTACAAAAATTGTTGCTTTGTTCAAAATGATTTTAATAAACAGTGTTTGATCATTGATACCGGCGCCGTAATGACCTTAATAATCGTCGTGGCTGAGTTGTTCACGCATTGCTGATTGCTGGTGGCGTGGATTGATCTCTCGCTTCGTGTGGTGCTTGAAACGGCGGCTCCTTCGCTGTCGCCTAGAACATCTTCTCACGTGACAGTCCTTTGTTCACTCGCACCACCAACATCTTTGATACTTCCTCCGTTTCATAATATAAGTTATTCTAGCATTTCTCACAATTATATTAATGCTAATGAATCTATTTATATTGATGTTAATGAATCTATATATTTAGATTCATTAACATCAATACAAATATAGAAAATGCTAAAATAATTTACATTGTGAAACGGGGGAGGTAGAATTCATCCGGCCCATGGCCTCCGTAATCCTGATCTTGAAGCTACCGGTTTATCCAAAAGGAGAATCCTATATATCGTTATTATCCGCCAAAGCGTGAATTCGACTTCTTTTTTTCTTCTTTCTTATAGATTATCGATTCCTTTTTGCATATTATTTTTTTTTTCTCCTTTTGTATCATCTTAAAGATTTTTTTTCATTGGCCTGTATCCGGTCGGGTATTGTTCTACACGTATTTCTGCCGAAATTTATTTAGATAGAACACTACATGGTATAGGTCATTGTCCCACACGGCTGCACGATACCAATTTTTCGCCTTCTTCTGCCGTCCTCCGGTCCTCGGGACAGTCAGTCCGTCGGTAGCTAGCACCTGCTAGCAGACGTATGACCAAAACAACGCTCATAACCCACGTGAAGCGGAAACACCGAGAAAAACCGCGGAAAACGGCCGAAACCAACGAGTGGATTGTAAATCCTCAAAAATACATTTCCTTGTTATTTACATATAACCTACTAAATAGTTATTTTTTAAAAAAATTAAAACAAGATAAATTATTATATGATAAATCACTCCATAAACATACAAGTTAAAATTCATCTTTTATAAGTTGTAACAAAGAAAACAAAATAAACTATAACTAGTAAACGTATATTCACAATTAAATTTACTTTATTCGTTGTAATGTGTAAAAGTTAAATTTGATTATGCAGGTTTGTTGAGTAATATATCATATATTAATCTATCTTGTTTATTTTTTAAAAATTTTATCATATACTCGTACTATTTAAATGAATCGTACTTCCTTCGTTCGATAATATAGGAGATTTTGATATAGATAGTGTAAGTGAAATATGAAAATATCTTATATTAGGAGATGGTTGGAGTAAACAGCAATGCTCAATCCATTGTTCGAGTAGTTTTTCCCCGAACCAACGCAATCCACACGCGACGACGCCGCGAACCGGCGCCCAATCGACGCACGGCGCGCGGGGCCGTCGGTTTTTGGCGCCGCACAGCCACGCGTCGGCGCCCGCCGAGTCAGCACCACGTCCTCCTCCTCTTCCGCCCAGATCCACTCCCACAGTATGGCCGCCGACCGCCGCGTGGGCCCAACATCTCAGTCAGCGCCAACGCGGTACTACTAGCTGCCTGCCGGGTGGGCCCTCCAGCCCACCGTCCAAATCCACCTACGTGGCCGCACCCGCGTCCCTACGTGCCGCCTTATCCACAAAGACCACAGACCTCACCCCGGTTGGTGTGGAGTGGGGCCCACGCTGTCATTCGGTGGACGAGGCCGGTGCGGGCCCCGCGCGTCATTGGATGGAGGAGGAAGCGAGCGGCGGAGGAAAAACAAAAAAAAAAAAAGAACGCGAGGCCACCTGGCGCGCTCTGTATTATTGCGGCTGCTGCTCGCCGTGCCACGTGGCACTCGACTGGCGCTTTTTTCGGTGTTTTTCTTTTTGTTTCTTTTCGCTTCGCTGTGAATAAATACGAGGCGAAAAATTAAAAATTCAGTACCACCAAACCAAACCCAAACGAGAGAGAGAAGAACACACGCACACCCCGAGCGAACGCAAAGGAGCGAGAAGCCGAGAAGAAAGGAGCAAAGTCGCGATCGAGTGACGTAAGCGGCGACAATGGAGGCTGTGCTGATGCAGCAGGCAGCGGCGGCGGCGGCGGTGGTTGCAAGGCCGGCGAGGCGGCGGTGCACCGGGGAGGAGGTGGTGGGTGGAAGGCGACCGGGGTTGGTCCGGCTCGGATTTGCGCGGCGGCGGTGGTCGAGGCTGAGGCTGAGCCCCGCGCGGGCCCACCTCGCCGTCGACCGGAGCAGGGAGGCCGGCGAGGAGGCGGCGGCGGTGGTGGAGGAGGAGGGGGAGGCGGCGGTGAGGCTGTTCGTGGGGCTCCCCTCCGACGTGGTCACCGCCGACGGCCGCGCCGTGAACCGCGGCAAGGCCGTGTCGGCGGGGCTGCGGGCGCTGAAGCTCCTCGGCGTCGACGGCGTCGAGCTGCCGGTCTCGTGGGCCGTCACGCAGCCGGGGCCCACCGGCGACGAGCTCGGGTGGGCAGGGTACCTCGCCGTCGCCGCCATGGTCCGCGACGCCGGGCTCTGCCTCCGCGTCTCGCTCGACACCCACGGCTCCGCGCTCCCCGCCTGGGTCGCGGCGGCGGCGGCCGCCGACCCCGACATCCTCTTCGCCGACCGCTCCGGGAACCGCCGCGACGGGTGCCTCTCCTTCGCCGTCGACGAGCTCCCGGTTCTTGGCGGCAAGTCGCCGCTCCAGGCCTACGAGGCCTTCTTCCGCAGCTTCGCCGCCGCCTTCCATGACTTCTTGGGCTCGACTGTCACGGTAAGCGAAATCAAGAACACCTTCGTCTCGTTCTCGAAGTTGCAGTGTTTCTTAATACTAGTTTTTGTTGGATTCTGTAGGATGTGACGGTGAGCTTGGGTCCCAATGGCGAGCTCAAGTACCCTTCGTATCCGCCTGGGAGCGACGGCGCCGGCGGCTATGGCGGCGCGGGCGAATTCCAGTGCTACGACAGGCACATGCTGGCGCGGCTGAAGCGGCACGCCGTGGCGGCGGGGCAGCCGCTGTGGGGCTTGTCGGGGCCGCACGACGCGCCGCGGTACGGCGAGTCGCCGGAGAGCTCCACCTTCTTCAGGTCCCCGGGGGGCTCGTGGGAGACCGCGTACGGGGGCTTCTTCCTGTCGTGGTACGCCGGGGAGCTCCTCGCGCACGGCGACCGCGTCCTGGCCGCGGCGCGCAGGGTGTTCGACGGCGAGCCCGTCGAGCTGTCCGCGAAGGTGCCGCTCCCGCGGTCGCGCCCCGCGGAGGCCACCGCGGGGCTCCACGGCGGGTACGGCCCCGTCGCCGAGATGTTCGCGCGGCGCGGGTGCACGGTGATCGCCTCGGGCATGGACGGGTCCGCGGCGGCGGCGGCGGTCCTCGCCCAGGTCAAGGCCGCCTGCGCGGAGCACGGCGCGCGGCTCGCCGGCGAGAGCGCGTCGCTCGCCGTGGCGCGCGACGGCGACGGCGCCCCCGGCGCGTGGGGCGGCCTGCTCGCCGCCGAGCGCACGCGGCCGTGCCACTTCACGTACCAGCGGATGGGCGCGGAGTTCTTCTCGCCGGACCACTGGCCGCTGTTCGTGCAGCTGGTGCGCGCCATGGAGTGCCCCGAGGAGGCGCACGAGGACGACCTCCCCGCCGCCGCCGGCGACGGCGGCCGGCTCGCCGTGCCGTCCGGCGGCCGCGCCGCAGAAGACGCCACCGCGAAGCAGGCGCAGACAGTGTAGACGCAGCTGGCACGCTGCGACTCGTAGCTGTACATATGTGCAGTAGTAATACCAGTATACTGCTGTAATTACAGCAGTACAATTTACTATTACTACTCCATTTTTATTAGGAAAATCAGCGGTAAATTCTCAGTGTGTAGCTGAGAATTATGAGATGGATGATGCCCCCTGTATTAGTGGGGTCAAATGAGTATTTGTCAAAAATGGTATTTTGTAATGATCTTATGATCGAGATGAGAGATTGTATTCTAGTGATGCTATTGCATCATTGTTACCTCAAGAATCAGAACATGAGACGTGTACCCCAATAATTCTTTTGTCCATGACATTGCAATGCTTATACGATGATGATTGATGCATGATTAACATACGTAATCTGCATGATTAGCTCGCGTTGGAAGAACACGAGCTTCTTATCCTCAACTGAGATTAGGTCCAACAAAATACTGCTTCGGATTAACAAATACACACAGTTTTGGCTCTCAGATACATCCTGATACCATGGTAACCACTAGTTTCTTACTCAGTAGAATTTATAAGGCCCATTAGGCATTATAAAAACGCTCGACTCAAATCAACAAATGATTACCGTATGTATTCGTCAACATATAGTAGTATATACAAGTCAGAATGTGAAGTTCACCGCTGAAACGTTTGTAGCTTCTCTCGCTTTTGCCCTTTCCCAAAAATAATTTAATAAAAAATAATTACCATTTTACCCTTCCACCTTCCATACCTGATTGCCCTTTTAATACCTTTTTTCAGGTACCTTCTCTCTATCATATCTGATCAAGGGTCCTAATTAATTTCAAGCATTGAAGAAGATCTCTACTAACAAATCACACAATCCACAACACTGCTTTTGACACTGTTCTCAGCACTGCAGCCTATTACTCCATGTATTACACTAATTTAAAGAACACATCAAGTTGCAACTTGCAACACACAACTTGGCATTTTTGGCTACACAAGCCTGCCGTTTACAATGTAAATTGGGGGAGATTAAAAAGAAGAAGAAACTCTCTAGGTTTCAACAGCCGGCACCGCCCAAGAATGTGTAACAATTAGAAAAAAAAAACAAACTAGAACAGAATTACAAGCCAGGAGGCCAGAAAGATCACAGGTGGCTATTATGTACACTGCAGCAGCAGCATCCGGGGCAGCAACTTCAGGAGATGGACTTGGTGTTTTTTTTTCTGCCCAAATCCAAACAAATCCTTGTGCTTCAATGTCAAGCGTGACTCGTGCACGCTACGCCTGCCGATCCAGCTTATCATGCTTCCACGGTTCGTCCTTCATCCAGCACCTGCAGGTACATTGCATTCGCGGCCAAAAATCTTGATTAGGATGCGGTTCATCTGATTGTGATTTAGCTGCATGAATGCAGCTATGCCTGGACAGTGATGGAAAACAACTGCGCAACTGCAGCTTAAGAGGTATTTTTGCGAGTTCCATTGGCAACTCGTCAGCCTATAAACCAAGGCTAAATTTGAATTTTTGAAACTTAATTTCAGATTGGTCTACGTGGTTTTCTTATTGTTTTCTATTTAAACCGCTAAGAGTAGAAACATAAAATCCCTACTCTAAAATTATTTTTCTTTGCTTCGTGTCACGTTTCATGGCACATAAACCGTACCCAAGCAAGTATGCAACTGTAGTTTACAGAACAGGCTGAATCAGTAGTGATTACGGAGCTAAGGGTAAAACACAGAGGGCAGCTATCATCTGGTGCAAATTGCATACATGTGTTGCCATCTATTCTCTTCTGATGTGACATCCCAACAGAAAAGCTCGATTTGCATATGGGCAGACCGATGAATTCAGATATGCCTAACAGCCAGCTCAGATTTTGGATCAACTACTGCTCTACTAGTACTCCTAATCTGACTATCTAGTGTCTGAAGTTTGGAAGGTTCTGAAAATGTGAGTCAGCTTTCATAATACTGTTGAAGAAACAATTAGGTAAACTGAAGACCATCTAGATAAAAGCAAGTATTAAGTGTCATTATATCAAGCAGGGTAAGTAACCATGTGTAAATGTCGATAGTAGTAAAGCTGAATAGAGAGAAATGATCACCTTATCTCATTCACAGGCTATTTTGGTATCAAAACTGCTCAGACAGATTGCAAATGATTGAAATGCTGATATCGGATAACGGTAGTCCATGGTGAACAAGTCCTTCCCAATCTTTCCAAACTGGAGAATCACCTTGTCCTGCTCCTGGTTAGTTGGCCCATTTTCATCAGACGCCACCAGCTGAAAGTTTTTCACTGAGGCAACAGTAACCCGTCCACGGAAGTTGAGGCACCAACATTGCAGTTGCTCATGCCACCTAGGAGATTTATTCTTCAGAACCAGCTTTTCTTCCTTCTGAGTGGATAATTGTGAAGTTGCACTATCTATTCGAGCTGATTTTGATCTGAAGAATGAAATTGATGGGAAAGAGTCGAGGCCACTGAGAGGAAATTCAGTCTGTGTCGGAGCTTTCCCACCCTCTTGAACAGCTGATGTGGGGATGGAATCCATAATGCAGTTCATCCTTCTTGGACCTCTGCAATAGGAATGCATCACAAAAATCACTGCAATTTTCTACGAAGTATTGTAGAAGCAGTCAAATCTAGCATGCAAAGTCAATCAACAATGAAAAGGTTGCGTATATGGAATTATGACAGCTGGTCAGCCGCCTTCTCTATATAATTATTCCTAGCCATGTGTGCTCAAATAACAGCCAGAAGGCTCACGGAGTTGTGATGTTATCACCACTTTTATCATTAGAGCCTTTTCTTAAAAAATAGATTCAGCATGTCTAATTGATCAATCATGCAATTGCAGTAATCACCACTGTGATTCTAACTATCGATGAATTCACATATTAAGGTCTCAGGTGTTGATGACAATATTTACCAATACTATCCATAGATTTACTCGGCATAACACAAGTGCTGATTCAATACCTTGCACCCAAAACATTCAATTCGTAGGAAATATGTGAAACTGGGTAATTCCCGGCAGGAACTCTCGGGGAGACTTGGTTCAGACCAACCACACGTGCAGACCGACTTTTTGAGACAACAGCTCCATCATATGGTGGATGGGCATCATAGACGGTAAACTTTGTTCCGAGAAAGTTTGACCTGTTAAAACAAAGGTGGTTAGCTGGTTCTTTTAATTGTTATTGTAGGCTATATTTTTAGATCTGTAAGAAACAAACAAAAAAAAGATATAACTGAAGATTAAGTTTGAGTAATGCACTTGACATCCAAATACATACAGTTTTGTTCTAAGTTGAATGAATAGTTTAGATGTGAAATGCATAGCACTTCAATTTCTTGTACTTTCCAAATTCTAACACTTACAGCAAAAGGAGAGGGGGAAAAATGCCATGTGATGCTTTTATATGAAACAGCCTATAGTACATCTAAAGGGCCTTCCTTACACATACTACTAAAGAAACTAGGAACAAATTTAGCTTTAGCTTTTCAGTGATGAAATCTCAAAAGATCACCTTAGCTTGCCAATATAGGTGTTGCTCCCCTTTGACATATCACTCATGTCAAGGGAAATCAGGTAGTCTGTGCATGTGGGCTTCCTGCATTTGCGTGCAGCAAGTAGGAACTTCCCATCATCGGCAAGTGCTGTAAAAAGAAACTTCCCGAAAATAGTAAGCATATATCCATTATACGCCAGCATAGCTGTACTTAATTTGGCGTACCAGGGGTGGATAAACAGCATACCTTCTGTGAGCCCAATATACAGATAATATGTCTGAGTAGTCCGGTTTCTTCTTATGAAACATTTAAGAGTGCCGTCTCTTGGGCCAGGCTGCACATCACGTAGACTTGAGTAAATTAGGACTAAGATGACACTAAAATGAACTTGTCAACCAAAGGTTACAGTCAATGAAGTGGCGTCAATTTCTACGAAAATGACAGCAGAGAAATGGCATTTGATACTGGAATATCATGCTAAACATGTGAAGCACCGCAATCAAAAGGGAAACGGCTTCATCAGATAGCATTTATGCATCCATCACATTTTCTTGATATGCAGTTTGTTTTCTAGCCCAAAACTAGATAAATCACATAAGGGAGACACCTTCCAAAAATTAAAACATACTAGAATGCCATGGTTCACAACATCCATTAAAAAGATGATTTGGCTGCTTGCAATCCATCAGAGCAAAGCCGACATACGCAACAGCGCAACAGAATGCAGGGCTTTCATCCTTCACCGCTTGACGAACGCAATTCAGCAGCTAACCAATCAATCATAAAGTGTTGACACAATGAACAAATAATTCCTAAAGATTAAACAATGAAGCTTCAACACAATGAACAATCAAATTACTAACAGTTCGACATCGCAACCGGGAATTTCAGAATGAAACGAGAGCGCGAACCTGCTTGAGCGAGATGGGGAAGGTGAGCTTGCCGGACGCCTCCGGGACGCGGACGATCTCCTTGGTGATCCCCCTCCAGCTCCGGCAGACGCCGGCGCACGCCACCACGTCCCTCCGCGACGGCCACCACACCTCCGACTCCTCGATCCTCACCAGCACCTCCCGGAGCAGCTCGGGCGGCAGCTGCGCCCAGCAGCTCTGCTGCATCGCCGCCGCCTCCGCCGGCCCCACCGCCGCCACCCGCGGCGCGCCGCCGCCGCCGCGGTGGGACCGCGACCGCAGGCTGTGCCGCGAGATGCTCCCGAACTCGTCCCTCATCTCCTGGATCAGGCTCCTGAACGACATCTTCCTCCTCGCTCGATTCCCCCTCCTAATCCACACCTCTCCTCCAATCTCTCAAATCTGCAGGCTGCAACCGCGCCAAGAAAAACCCGGTCACGAAATTTACCACCACCATTTCCATCAAATCTTCCACCAAACGGAACGCCAAGAATCGCAAGAACAGGGGGAGGAATTTCACCGTACTGACCGAGAGACGGGCCGAGCTAATTTCACCGTAATGTCTCCATGGCGTCGCCGCCCATGCCGGAATCCATCGATGAACACCAACAAGGCACCGAACTGAGCTGGAAGCAAGCAGGGCGGGGACCAAATCCCTCGACGCAGCAAGCAAGAAATGGCAGAAATCCTCACGCGGAGGTAGGTGTCTCCGCCGCTGAATCCCAGAATCAATCCAAGGGCCAAGAAAACCACCACCAGCTCGAAGAAGCAAGAAAACGGCTCGAATTCAAGCTCTCAACCCACCAAACAGAACACCCAACATTTATCCGAAATTGAGCACGAAAATTCTGCAATGGATTCTTGGCTGGAAGGAGGAGGCGGAGGGAGCAAGAACAAGAAGAAGGCAGAGGCAAAGATTCCAAGAAACGAAAGGCGGAGGTGAGGAGGGAGGAGGAGGAGGAGCAGGTGCCTTGGGAATTTTTAGGTGGTGAATGGGTGATTGATAGGTGGTGGTGGTGTAGGAAGGAATGGTTGGGGAATGCCAGTATACTAGTACTACCTATGATTGCTACTACACAAAAAAGGGAATGGAATGGAGATGGAGCTTGAGAGCAGGTAGGATTAGGGTTCCTCCCTCCCTCTTCCTTCCTTGCTGAGTGGCTGAAAAAGATGGGCATCTCACAACTCTCCCTCCCTCCCTCCATGCACACATCCATCTATCCATCCACACATTCATTGTAGCACAATTAATTAACTAATAAATGTGTGTATAAGTACAGCTGACTAGTACTAATCCACTCGTTTCAAACTATAATAAGGGTTGGCTTTAATATGGAGTAAATATTAAGAAAATAAGTAGATATACAAATGAACTAGCTAAGACTATATATAGAACACATAGATGGTACAACCAGAATGGACAATTTACTGAATAAAATCATATTATATAAATAATAGGGTTTTATATTTATAATAATTTCGTTTTAAAAGTTATTACTTACTCTATATTTTACTCCTACAGTACTGGTTAACTTTGCATGAGAGGCGAATTATAATACTAATAGACCACACTTGTGGAAAAGAAGAAACCAAATTATCAATTATTTTGGCATGACACTCTGTCCCAATGTCATTGTCAGGGCAGGGATGATGCCACTATAGCCAAGGGAAGCATCATTGCTCAAGCTTAACCCAAGTAGTACTAGTACTCCTCATGATTGATTGCTTCCATCTTTGTGCTAATTAGGCATGGAGTGCAGGACACTTGACTGTACCTGCCCCTCACTTTCCAAGTGTGAGTGAGATTAAAGCACAAGAAATGAGGATTTCTTTTTTTTTTTCAAGGTACAACTCTGCCAGTTTGGCCAAGCAAAATGTTGGTACTATCATCTTTGCATCATCATCATCATCCACCTGAGGAAAAACAGTAGAAGGTCCCTTTTAATGTTCAGGTGAAAAACATGAGATGTTTTATTGGGCTTTTCTGCTATTTTTCTTTCACCTCACATGTGTTAGTGGCCTGCATCAAATAACGGGGTTTTTTTTTTGCATGCATCCCTTACATGTGAAGGCAGTGGTCGCGCGCGGAGAATCGAGAAAGTAAATGACCGGCGTCACTGCCTCTCATTCTAACCACAAATAGTTAATGGTCAATAAAATAAAATGAGTTACTAGTAATCTCTTTCTTTTTCTCTCAAAAAAAGTTACTACTATTTCTATTTACAGAAAAAAGTTTATTCCCCTGTATTTATACTCAATTGCATACGCACCCCGTTTATAAATATTACTTCATTGTCATGATCTTTGAGATAAAATATAGAGCTTTTATTCTGTAACTTGATGATTCCCCGTATGTTGTTGTAGGATATTAGCTTAACATTGGTGTAAGCTTTGGTGGGAAAAATATACTACTTGTGCACACAGAGTTGCATGATGCAAAGATTGTAAAAAGTTGCAATAAAACATGTGGTTATATGATTTAAATTAAAACTTTACTTTAGTGTTGATTTCCGGAGTTTTGATCGTAGTCTGTTTTGCAGCCTTAGCTTCCAAATGCTAGTAGTAATAAACATGTTTATTTATAATTTATAATTTGTTATTTTTACTTTTTGGTGGTTTATTCGGCAAAGCTTAAGTAATGAGATATTGCTCGTGCAAATTCGTATCCCCTTCATCCAAAAGTAAATAAACTAAGTACAGGATATGATACATACTACTAGGATAAAAGAAAAATTAAAATACGAGGTTAGTTTATTCCAAGGCTGAGAGAGTAGGACACACTAGATTTTTCATAATTTGGTCCTTTTGAAAACCTTATTCTACAAATATACCTCTGAAAAAACTTATTCTAGAAATGGTCTTTTTTAGAGCGCCAGAGTTAATGGTGCCGCCCCCTGCCACCATGGCGGCCAGATATTGACGTGGCAAGGGGAGCGCACCAGCCTCTCTGGCGCCACCCCCAGCTCCGAGTCGGGATGCTCTCTCTCTGCTCTCCTCAAATTCACTCGAAATTATATAGGTAAGAGAGGGTTTTTTTATGTAAGAGGTTGTTTTCCGTTGTTTTTGTTTTTCCTATATTCCAAAAAACCAAAAAAATAGTACATTGCCCTTTTTACATCCTATAAAAAAAATAGAGTTTGTTGAGTTTTTCTCTTTTACATTCAAAGTATCATTCCTTAAAACAGGCATAACTTTCTCATACGGACTCGAAATCGAGCAAATTATATATCCACGGACATGTACAGAAAAGTTACATCCGATTCTCCATGCTTCTTTAGGTTTGGAAAAATTAGAACCTTCAAATTCCGCTTGAAAGATTTTGTTTTTGAGGCGAGAAGTTTTTCGGTAGAGTTTTAGAAAATTATAAAGGTTGCATATTTCATCCATTTGAGTTTAACTTTTTTATGGTTGGTTCTTGTGGACTCTTAAAAATGGTTTTAAAAAAAACCATTTTTGGGATAAGTTGGTTCAGGGAGTCTATTTTTAAAATAATTTTTTGGAAAGGACTAAATTTTGTAAAAAAAAATCCAGGTAGAACACATCGGTTTGTTCCTACTACTAGTAGCTCTATCCCCATATATACGCTGGCACACAGGATCAGGCAGCTGTCTGTCCTGGCATCACTTGCACAGTGCTACCGGTGGCAGCTGTAATGGAGATCGTACTAGTACCGACGGACGAGAACGCAGGAGGAGCAAGAGCCGCAGACAGACAGACAGTGCAGCAATGCATGTCCGAGGAGGGTCGCCCTGCAACTTGCGTCCTTGCGTGCGGCCGCCGGATGATGGATGGAAATCGTCAGGACCATCTGCCTGCACTCGCAATCGGAATGGTCAAAAAAAAAAACAGAGGATTCATTCCCTCAACTAGAGAAACATGACAAGAGGGTGAGCAGGCGTGACAAGAGACCGCGCCCAGCCACGCTACGTCGTCACGGGCTCTATCCAGTTCTTCTCTCCTCTCCTCTTCGGCAGCACGGTAGTATTAACTCCTGGTTTCAGTGAAAAGCTTTCATGCCGCTTTCATTGCTAGGTACTCCCTCCGTTTCAGAAAAAACTCAAATTATAGGGATAAATCTGGACACATGGAGTTTGATTCTTTTTGGATGAAGGGAATAAGCACTACTCCCGATCTTATAGGGATGTGGCATATCCTAGTATTCCTAATTTGAACAGACCATGTCACATACCTTTAAAATCCCTTATATTATAGGATGGAGGGAGTAGTAATGGTGAACATGGGCTTGCCCTGAAGACTCTAGCGGTGGTGTGTTTGGTTGGTTGGATGACGGATGAGTCCTTATTTTTGAAATTCAAAGGAAATTTAAACGATTGTAAGGTTTTAAGGTGTTTGTTTTGGAAACATGAATCATTCATGGAAGAAAATATTCCCTCGTAATGATATGACACCGATCTCATACATCAATTGTATCAGCTCACGCCACTTGTGTACACCGCTCGTCATTGAGACTCACATGTTATCACACCATTTATATACCTCCAACTAAAGTAAAATACGTTCTTAAAAAAAAGAACCCAAAGAAAAATAATGGTGATCCTATCCCTTTAACCAAATAAGAGACGAGACCATCCTATCTTATGTCGTTCTCAAACTAAGCGTGTGCTAGCATCTTTTTTTTTTCAAGCTTTGAGCTTGTCGGAGAAATAATATTCTGCTATAAATCACAAATGGATATGAGTTCTTTGTTTAGGACTGGAATTGGATATGTGGTGAGGGCATACTAGTATTTATTTGTTGTTAAATTTAACCAATTTGGTATTGCCAAAATTGCTTACACTTTGGTTACATTTAGCGGGGTCCAGACAGCGCTTATCCATTTCGTGGCTTGATGGTCTAAAAGAACACAAGCATCCTTCCAAATTAGTTGTACAAGATTCCACCCTCCATTATATCTAACATGAATCACTGTACATATTAATAAAGAAGGATATGCATAAATTTATTTTAGGAGCAAGATCATGAGCTACTTGACCTGCATTAATAATTAACCTTTCCGAATTAAAGAAGCGAAACAAACATGTGAACCTTTTCCTTCAAAAGAAAAGTATAGCAACATGTGCCTTTTTTATAACAGAAAAAAGGGTTGCAAAATGAGTGGCACACTACACCTTTTACTTGCCTTGTTGAATTTTATAGCTTACTTGTGTTTGTGGATCAAAAGGGGCACACTCAAAGAGGAGGAGATCAATTGAGAATATTGCCACTGGTAGTATATTACTCCATGATCCGTGAAAAAGTGTGGATACACCTTTGAGTATCTCAAGGACTTGGGTAAAGCAGGCTAGAAGAAAACAAATCATCAAAGTTGCCTTTCCATTTGGCGACGCGGATTCGCTAGTGTCATCATCTTCACAAAAACTAGCAAAATACTCTGTGTTGCACCGGGCTATAATTATATTAGATGAACTAATTAAAACTAAATCATCACCCTTAAGCTCCTATTAACGATGATAGGATAAACAGTGTGTTGTGTACACTGTACCTGAAGCAAATAGAGCTTCTCACTCTAGTACATTGTTGGTCAACAATGACGAGCCCACGAGATAGATGGTGGCCCCCATTTGTCATATAGATGGAGTGACAGAACCACCACCACTGGTATCTTTTAAGATAGTATAGAAATATATATATTCTCCATTTTTAAATATATTAGTGTATGACACAATTGACTTTTAGATATACGTTTAACCTTTCGTCTTATTAAAAAATTAATAAAAAATATAAAAACAATGATTCATGCTTAAAATATATTAATAATAAAAATAAATGATACTTGTATAGTTTATTTAATAAGACAAACTGTCAAGCTCATTCCTAAAAGTGCATTTTTTTTTAGAAAAAAGGAAAGAGTATCACTTAACATTATATTTTGTGGAAGATTGTTAAAGCCACCTGACCTGCATTTGTAATGTAGATCCACCCTCGGTTCACCATGACTATTGTAATGTTACTTATTTAGTATTCTAAGTGCCGACGAATGATGGATAAAACTAAGTTCACGCAGTTATATATTTGAAGACAAAAACGAATGAATTACGTATTAGAAAGTTAAAATGGTTCATTTAAAATAGTTCTCTAAGAAATACCACTGTTCTTTTACAAAACAAACATACGGTTAGGAGCTTGGAAGGTGCGCACAACGAGTAAAAGTAAACAGCTGTGCTCTTCATCTCTCTTT